ACTGCATAAGGCACTGCTTTTAATATTGAATATGGAATTGTTTTGATATTTTATTTATTTTACATTCTACTTCATTTATTATGTTTCATTCACGTTTAGAAAAACGTGCAGCACATTTCATTTAACGTTTGAATATATATTGTGTCCTGCTCTGTATTGCTCTGTATTTCTCGAAATTACGTTACCCTATCGTTTTGCCTTGCCATTTGTGTATGTTTACTTCATTGCTTCATTGATGGTGTTGCATAGGTACTATATGTGTTGGTTGTAACGTTGCCCTTAAACAGTGCCTTGCCCTGTGTTTGTTGTGCTTGTTGTGCTTATTTGTAATATAAACTTTCTTGTTTTACTATTCTGTTTCTTCTACAGTGTATACTTGATAATGCTAACAAGTATTAAGCCAGCAAACTCTTGAGCACTGATGTTAAGGAGATAAAAGTATTTGTAACACTAATATATGTTTTATATATATTATATATACGATAAATGATATATAATTATATAAAAATTATTTTGTAAAAACATTATATATTATATTTATATATAATATATTATATTTTATTATAATATTGTAATATAATATATCATATTAATTATGTATAATATTATTATTATAATTATATAATATATATTATATTATATATTATCATTTACATTACAACTTTTGTTGTACTTTATTAAATATTTTTGTGTATATAAATTTAAATATATGCGCATAAAATATTTTAATAAATTCTTATTTTTTAACCTATATTTTATAAAATTTATTTTAAGCCGTGTGTGTGTTCGAGTAATTTATGTCGGTATGGCAGCGAATGTTGGTATTTACCAGAATTTCGACTAGGGTAAATTAGATTGAAATTATGTAAATTAAGCGTTATCATTGTGAAGATGTTGTATAAGATGTTTAATAAATAAATAAATAAATTTGAAAACTTTTAACCAAAAATGACAAATAAAAGCAATAAATAAATATTTACATAAGTGCAGTGCAAAAAATCCCTAGGAAATTTCAATTTATTTTGCCTCAATTTACTCAAACTTGCACACGGCCTTAATAGGGTTTTAATGTCTGTTATTTAACAACTCTTTAACACTTGCTAACGGTGTTTTAGATTGGTAAATCTGGATTCAATTCAGATTTACTCCCTCAATTTTGTTGTTCAAGCGAATCTAAAATTATTTTAGTTTTTTTTTTCTCATTATGTTTTGATATTTAATTGTTGTAAACAATCTTTATAACCTACGCATTTGTGTCGTGAGTGATAGAAGAGGTCTCAAGTTATTATTTATATGAACTTTTTACCGTGAATATTAGTGGTAAACATATATATTATAAGTTTATATAAATGTAAACATCCCACATCCTTCTATTTTGCATTTGTGGACAGCGTTTGTTTAGCGATTAGTACCTAGTTACAGAGTCTTAAATGATGTTATTTATTTACCTTACTTACTTACTTAAATCGCCATAACAACTGATTATCGGGTTGCACGCCTAATACTGCATGCCTTTTCAGGCGCCTCTGCTACGTGTACACCTTGTCCGGTCTTGTACATCAAGTTAGGTTAGTGCTTCCTTAACTAAACTTATTTATTTACCTGTTTAAGAATATAAGGTACTTCTTATATTGTATTGTACAAATACTGGGAAATTATATATTATTATTATATTATTAGATTTACAAGTAGATATGTGGTATTTGCGACAACTTTTGTGTGATGATTATAGTAATGTAACATAAGTTAAATATTTATATATGTTTAAAAAACAAAGCCATGTACTTAACATCCTTCTTGTTACCACTTATTGATTTCAAATAAATATTTAAATAAACGAGCGGTTACTGTATATTATTCCCATATATCTTATTTATTATTTATATTTGCAATTGTCAATTTACTATTTGACGTATAAGGTTAGTAGCTTGCTCAACTAACCAGTGCTTATAGTACGAGGGCTGCTCATAAATATTCAATTACTAGGTAAATGCAATAATATAAATTTACTGTTTTCATTAGATTCAAATCTTATATGTGAAATTCTATAATATATATATATATATACAATATTATTTAATATTATTAGTCAGACAAAATATAATACTTCGCTTCAAATAATTTAATATTATTTGTAGCAATTGAGCAATCATTTTATACCATATATTCAAATTAATTGCTAATTATTTAATTTATTGATTAAAAACCAATAAAGTACCTATTAATATTCATATATATTATTTAAAAATGAAAAATAAATGGAACGATTACAACCTACTTAGCTATTCACAAGACATTATAGATTAGCTAATATCTCATATCAAAATATTTGAATTTCTAAATATCACACTTCAACATCTGGTGGGTGTTTAATTATATATTTAACACTTTCACTTAATGCTATTATAATATATGAGTTAATGAATACTATATATCTAAATAATCATTTTTACTAATAATTTTCCTCTGCTTCATTGGTCAATTCAGATAGATGTTGGTGTTATTGGTTAGAGGTATTCAAGATACTGCAGTTGAAAACCTTATATTAATTATTGTGTCGTCACTATTTTAGGAGGTAGCATTGATTTCAAAAGTAAGTCTTTTAATTCAAATAACGAAAAAAAGGTCGTAAGGTGCCCCATTTATCCATTGATTTTATATAATATACATATCTATTTTTATATTTTTTTGGTTATAGAAAAATATCAATAAATTTGAGAGGAACCTAGCTACTAGAACTATTGAATATATTTCCTTTTTCGTATATGCAGTACTATATGTATTTGTGTATTATATATATTGTGTAATATATTTGCTTTACGAAGGAAACTTTATATAGCCGACCTTATGCTCAACGATGAGTTAATGGAATCAGGAAGAAGAAGTAGTCGCCGCTCCTTATGATGGTAAGGACTTGCGGTGTTTGGCCTACTGAATGTTTCCGGGATGTAGACCGTGCTGTTTTTGAAACCTTTGATTGTTTGAGTTAATCGAATTGATTAGTGTTATCATTCCGCAATTTTTCGATTTTAGCAATAATGTATTAAATAAAGTATGCATCGTTGTTAGGTCGTTAAATGAACAAAAAAGAGTATGTATTTTAACTGCTTTTAAGAAGTGAATGTTAACAGATGTGCATTGTATGTCCAAGACATACGAACTTAAGTTCTATTCAGTTGGAAAAGTGGTCGGAGAAATCTCCAAATTTTTTACTACTCTATATATTGTATATGTATATAATGTTATATATAATAACAAATTATAATATTGTAAATAATATTATGCTCGGGACGCTAGAGATATTTTATTTATTTTATTATATACGATATTTTATTTAATAAAATCAATTATAATCAATCAATTGTTGTATGTTATTGCTTTTACTCATATCCATAAATTTAGGTCGATGTCGATTAGCTTGTTTTTCTCGTTAAAGTTTACCTGACTACGTGTTTTTCAATTTTGCTCTCTATTAACTGGGTCAGACTATATAAGTCTTTGAAACTTTATATTGAAACACAAATTCGTTTCATAAAATATCTTTTTTACTTCTTTTTTGTGGCATGTAAGATATATGTTAACATCAAGTTTTTTCGGACATATGATTTCTAAAAATTCCAATTGCTCTTGTTCTATGCTATCCACATCTGACTATATTCGCTTGGTGGTCGCTGATTACTTTATCATTGTACTACTTAAGGCTTTCCGTCACTTAGAACTGAAGTGTCTTGTACATTGTGTTTGGAGAAAACGTACCTGTGTAGTTAGTAGATTGGAAGTATGGTATTTCATTTTTTGTCAAATGGAATGATAGCTGCTATTGTTTTCTTGCAACATTTGCTCTTCCCATCGAATTTCTTTAGATAACATCTGTGAAGCTTTTTCATTTAGTGAAAATCTGATCAGGTTCTAGTGATGTCTTGAAAAGTCTGCATTATTAAACAAGTATTGGAAAGACTTTAAAAAATTAATAATGTGCAGCTGATATAAGCGCAATGTGCAGAAAAAATAATTTAGATAGAGCAATCAATTTACTTCATTACTTTATAAATATGGTATCTGTTATCTTATTAACTATCGTAGAGCTTTGAAACTATTTGGACTTTGGATTTTGAAGCCGTAACTTATATAAATATTAACTGTATAATTTATTTCTCTGTATTGTACTTTTATGTTTTTATAATACATAAAATTCATTTTTTTATATTATTTTTGTATTTGAAAAATACAATAAAAAATTAACTAAAAAATTTCTTATATTTTTTCTAGGTGTTCCCTCAAAAGAATTAGTGGTAAAGGCAGTTGAACGTAATATTTAAATAAAATAATATTAAAGAAGAAGAAAAACACAAGAAAAAAGGAAACAACGTGGAAACGTGCACAGAATAAAATTGTTGGTTTCCTGATAGCACAGATATAAAATATGTTGTTGCAACTGAGATAGATTTCAGCAAGTCAGCAACAAATTTTAACATAGCAAAAAACAAAACCAAAAAAAAAAACGAACAGCAACAACCAAAAGTCAGCAAAGAAACTAGCGAGCAGTAATATCTAAAATCGTCGAAGGATAAAATTTTTTTTATAGTAGTAAGATTTTCCTTATACATATATATATACGTATATATATATATTAATATATATATATATTTATATTTGAAACGACGAAACATTAAAACAAATTAAATTTGTGCACTTGCTTAGAAATTTTAAAGAGCGGATACAATTAATTGCTACGATCGCCACGACGTCGACCACAAAGGCAACAAAGTCAGCAACTGTTGCTGCTGCTGCTAGTGGAATTGCAACTGCCAAAGTTTCACAACGGAAATCAAGTAAAAGTCCACCACCGGCAGCGGCGGCGGCGACAACGGTAGCAACTAGTTTACGAAATAATCGCAACAATCGCCGTAGCATTAGCAGCAATCCGCACGCCAGCAACGCCAAAGGCGGCAGCAGCAACATTAAGAACAGCGCAAGCCGCAATAGCAACATTCGCAGTTCTTCGTCCAATAGCACAATGGCATCGTCAAATCATCGTGGCGGTGGGGGAGGAGGCGTCGGTGGTGGTAGCGGTTCGGGTCTACAAATTGGCTCGGCGTGGTTTCAACGCAAAATCAACTTACGACCACAGCATCGAGGTGTTCATTTAGTAACAGAAGAAATACTTAGACAAATGCCCGAATTGGGACAATTTTCAGTTGGATTATGTCATGTGCAAAGTGAGTAATATATAAAGTATAATATAGCATAAGATCTCACATCAAAAACTAATTATTATTCAATTTAAATAATGAAAAAAATTAAAAAAGATCTATTTTTGTTATTTATAACATCTTATATCTCTAACGGCTTTTAGTAAACCAGATAGTATATCCTGTAATTGAAAACAATAGTGATAAGATTCTTCAAATACAAGCAATGCTATTATGACTTCTTAAAAGTATAAAGAATATATAGTATATATAATATAGTATATATTATAGTATAGAAGATATAAATCTATTGACTAAAATGTTTGGCATATGTCTGTATTCATAATTGTGATAATTATTCATAATTGTAATTCTTAGGATATATTAAATCCTTAAAAATAGTTGCTAATAAAATATTGCCATTTAAATGATACCTTCGTATCAAAGTATGAATCTCTTCAGCATATGTTAGATTTATTCAATGTACTAAATACTATTTTGAATGTCAAAAACACTTTAGATACTTTTGGGATCAAAAAACAATACTTTGTGTCCTACTGTCGTAGTACCATTATATATCAGTAATATTCTTAAATCCATATTAACTCCATTGATTCATTTGTAAGCTTGCATACCAATCGGCTTGTGTTGTATTTTCTTTTCTGGTACAACTCAGCCAGCGCTTGCTTGTTTATAACTAGTAGTGCTACATAATTCGCATAATCGCATAGGCTTATCTTCTCGATTTTAAATATTGCATAATTTCGAGTAAGATTAAACGTTGTGATCTACTTAGAGGACAACAGTTGTTAACGATTTGCTACCGATTTAAACTATCGCAAGACTGCTTCAAATGCAGAAAAATAAAGTGAAGGTTGACAACATTTTTTTTAGTAAGCGATATAACCTTGGTATCTATATCTTTCCAAAATCTGCAAAGGTAGTCACGCAGCATCTCTTCAGGTACTTTAACAATTCTAACTCTGAGTATATTTATGAGCATTTTATAATCCGTACTTAGTTTTTAGTTTAGTTTCGATTAATTCATTATAGTTTGGTTTGGTTCTGACTAAAAGGAATATGCATATAGAATTTCTCTATACTGTAACTTATCATCCTGTTTATAATTGAATGTTGTCTCATTGTCTCATAGTTGTAGTTGCATTATCTGCAGTTAGGATGTTATTGGTTTTAAACTTGTACAGATTCAGTTGGGGCTGCAACTTTCTTAATTAAATAAAGATTGTTCAAATGAATATTATGGTTTAATATAGAACAGTTGCCTTCGCCAAAGCAATAATTTTCGTAAACGTAGCACTAATCAAATAATGTCTAAAAACTCATACATAATCTATAAGCACTTTTTCTTGGTTTAGTTATAGTTTAAATATTATTTATAGTTAAACTTTTAGATTCCAATTTATTTATTATTGCAATATCTCTCTTTATAGTATTTCTTCTTCCAAAACTACCCAGAACACCTTTTATTCATGTGATCCATTTTAATTATATGTAGTCTTGTCTATTAATTCGTTGTCATTACTTTACATATATTTAGATCACAGAAATTATATTTTTTTTTTATTTTAATGATTATTTGTTTATCAATTTTTTATTTGCATATATGCGTATATTTGCGCATATATTTTCTTTTATAAGTATTAACTTTTTCTTCAAAATGTTTTTCTCTAGGTAGAATTTTTATAAACTTTAGATAGTCGTTCGCTTTTTGCATATTGTTTCAGAAAAACTATTCCATTTTGGTCGGATGTGATTTAAACAAAAAGCACTTCTATTATATCAGTTCAATTGTTCCTATTGTAGTTATTCTAAATATTATTCTAAAAACTGATTTCTTATTTCATTCGATTCTTATATACCTATATTTGTTTGTTATTGTCTTTCGTTCTGTTGGCAAGTCTTGAAGAAATGATTTTCATCTTATCAAAAATAACAGTATATGTTGTAATTTTTTATTTTTAAGCACAGATCTTTCAGTTGTTCCAAATATATTCCTAAAGCATCCTGTATGGTGAGTGTAACAGAGAAGAAACGAGAAGAGTTATCGGCAACTGTATAAACTGATATATTTTGGTATAAGTATATTCACTATTTAATAGTACAAATATATATTTTTATTCCAAATACGTACACTATTTCTCAAAGCAAAGTTCTCGAAGTTACTAACTGAAGTAATAATCTTTAAAAACCTGCAGCTACGAACGAACTCAAGTAAATTTTCGTTTGACTCCATATGGACTTTTCCATATGGACCATATAGACTATAATATTATACAATAATAATATTGATCTTACGCCCTATACTACGACAACAGTCATATAGGCCATAAGATTATCATGGGTTATCATGCTTTCTTTTTACCAATAAGGTGTGAAGAAGTAAGTTTTGATATAGTACGACTGCAGTCCGTTCTTCTTCTATATTGGGAGTGTGTTCGTTTATATTGGCAGCGTGTGCTTTTATAATTGCAGTGCGTGCCTCTATATTAGAACTGTGTTCTTCTATATTTGCATGGCGTTCTTCTATATTAACAGTGCGTTTGTCTATACTTGCAGTGCGTTCTTCTATATTTGCAGTGTGCGTTGTTTTGTATTTACACATCGTTCTTCTATATTAGAACTGTGTTCTTCTATATTTGCAGTGTGTTCTTCTATATTTGCGTGGCGTTCTTCTATATTAACAGTGCGTTTGTCTATACTTGCAGTGCGTTCTTCTATATTTGCAGTGTGCGTTCTTTTGTATTTACACAGCGTTCTTCTATATTAGAACTGTGTTCTTCTATATTTGCAGTGTGTTCTTCTATACTTGCAGTGCATTCTTCTATATTTGCAGTGTGAGTTTTTGTGTATTTACACAGCGTTCTTCTATATTTGCAGTATGTTCTTTTGTATTTGCACCTGCGTTCTTCTATATTAGAACTGTGTTCTTCTATAATTGCAGTGTGGATATTTAAAGTTGTAGTGCGTTCTTATATATTTGCAGTGTGTTCTTTTGTATTTGCACTGCGTTCTTCTATATTAGAACTGTGTTTTTCTATACTTGCAGTGTGTTTGTCTATAGTTGCAGTGCGTTCTTTTGTATTTTCACTGCGTTTTTTTATATTAAAACTGTGTTCTTCTATATCACTTCATAGTGCTATCATAGTTACTTTGTTTTCAATTAGGTTTTCTGTCGAAGTCCATACCTAGTAATTTTTCTTTGTCAGTTAATTGTAGCTTAATGACTTTTAAAATGGTTGGACATACAGTTCTGAAGAGCTATATTTTCTAGTAAAGATTGTAATTAGGGTTTATTATATTTCGATATTAAATCATTACATTTTTAAGGAAGTGCTAATATATCTCTAAGAGTAGTAGGATATTTCTCAGTTATTATATATATGTATCCGTAGTATTTCTTCTTGAAACTATTTTTAATTAATATAACGAGTATATGTTACATATGCGATAAAATTTTTTTATTAAATTATTATTTATTCATTAGTTTTTTTTTCGCAGCAGCCTTTTATACAATGTTGCCAACTTATCCAAATAACTTGGCCAGTTTGGCTTTTACACGCTGCGATATGAGATGGCACATGTCTTTAATCTAGAGTGCTGATATTGTCATCGATTTCATTAAATGTTATACCTTTTAATAAATATTTAATGGATACACGTTGTTCAAATTTTTTGTTTTTATCTTTATTTGTTTTTTTTTTTTTTGTATTTGTATGTTTCATACTACTTTTGTTTTATTAAGAGAGCACGTGTTTCTAGACGATTGTCACATAAAAATTTTTTAAATATTTGATGACTTGAATTTTGTACAAAATATTACATAAAGTATAAATACGGGCACGGCGATATGGAATAGCACTTCACATACAAATGTATATATATAAGAAAAAAAAAAATTTCATAAAAAACAAAAAACAAAAAAAAACGTTACCAAAGTAACACTTATACGTGCCCGCAAAGTTCTGTAAGCGCATAAAATGTACGCAAAAATCCTTTAAGGACTTTAGATATATTTTATTTAGGCCATTTCTGCCGTAATCTGCAACTGTACGAGTTCGTAGGGTTTTGGTTTTAAAGTTTTATAAATGGTTTAAATTTTTTAAATACCAGTACAATATCTTGGAACTCTAGAAATTTTTATATACGTATATCTGGTTAAGTGTCGCAATATCTGGTTAAGCAGATTTAAGCAATAAATTTGAAAGTGACTTTTTTATATTTTCAAAATTCTTATAAATATTTTATTGCTTATATAAGTTTTACTTGCTAAAAAAACCAATTAAATCAATATGGTTGGTTATATTGCTTTGTTTTTCTTCTTCATATTTTTTGTATCTTGAATATTTATTTCTAAATCTTCTTATTTGTTTTTGGTTCATTTTTTGCTCTTGCAAACTGTTTTGTTTGTTAACGTATTTCATTTATTTCGTCTGTAGCTCAGCACTTTGTATAATCTTGCTCAGCTACAGCTGCAGCTTCAGTTCAGGCTCTTCTATTGAGCAGCAGCACATAAAAAAGAAACGATTTGAAATTTATTTTGGGATTTAGGCCAACAATCAAACAGCACATATTTGCAGTATCTACTCGTTACCATACTAAACATTGTGGTTCCTCCTACTTGCTGCTGCAATTGTTGCTATATTTGTTGTTGTCATTATATTCGTAGTTACTACTTCTACTGCTACTACGGTTTCCACTGCTTTTACTGCATCTACTGCTGCTGTCGCTGATGTAGCTGATGTGGCTGATGTTGCTGGTGTTACGGATGATGCTGCAGTTGCTGCAGTTGCTGCTGCGTTTCCAGTGTTTGCCGCTGTTATTCGTATACGAGTATCTATTGTTAATGCAGTCAACATTCATTCAACTGTCAGTCTGTAGCATAGCATCTTGCATTCGTGACGTTCGTTCGTTTTCTATTGCTGCATAAGTATTCCTACATTCAAGAAAATCCATTCTATTCTTTGCATTTTATTTCGGAAATCGCATACGAGCACACAATAAAATGC